TTATCACCGCTTAACCAGTGGTTGACATAATCTTCAACCGAGGAATTTGTAGTTGAAGGACGGGAATTTAGTTTTCTTTCTGACTCTGCTCAAAATTTTGAGCGTTTCCTCTTCAAGTAATTGTTCCGAGCGAACCTTCCCAATTTGTTCCACAGAATCATGCTATATGAGCTGCTGTAGGAGGATGGAACCTGAAGATCATTCTCCTGGACGACATTGAATCAACTATCCAAGTATATACCTTGAAGTTGTAGTTTCTTGACAGCTTCACGTGCAGTTTTTTCATGATCAGAATAAATATTTCTGGGTTGTCCTCTTCATTAGGCCATTCGTATCATTGCCATTATTGTACAATCAGAGTTGAGAGTGTGAGCCAGTTCTGAATGAATTGCTGGAACTGCAACACACGGTGAAATTGCTTCTCTTTTCTTCTTTCGATTTTCACATATATCAGATCCTGAGTACTGGGCATGAAGATATCAGCTTGCTACACCTCTCTGAAAGTTTCCTTTTCTCCAAATAATAATAGATTTCTTCCAGAAAACTTCGTTGTTGAGCATACTTCATCCAAATTATTTCTGCATATTTCAATCCATCCACTTTCAATTCAGTAGTAGTATTTTCCAGTTATCTTCTTCTGTATTTCAAATTATGTATGGATCTGACACAGAAAGCTGTTCGCATCAACCTCATCAATTCCAAGAATTTCTGTATTCGTGTTCGGCAAATAATGTTTATAATTCGATATTTATCTGCATCTGACCAAGAAATTGGTATTTTTTCAGGAAGAGTGGACCGTTGACCCATTTGTGTGATACAACCATGTCACGACTTATGGAAGTGAACCTTGATGCACCGTCAGCTACATTCAACTCAGTTTGCACTAATTTCCAATTTTCTGTCTCAGTTCACTCTCAAATCTTGCCTATCCGATGAGCAACAAACTGTTTGTAGTTTCGACGATTTGCTTCGACCAATCACTTGTGTATGCACCTTGACTCTGACCAGAAATAAGTTCGATCAGAACACTAATTCATAGCTCATGTTTAATTGTCTGTGCCAATTTACTCTCCATGAAGGCGGCCTGTTTTTCCAGTCGAGGAATCGAAAATGGTTGTGAGGAAGCTACTCTGATTATGGCTGTGATGAAATTCTCCCATATTCACTCACTCGTTGGTAACTGACTGTAGCAGAAGCTTTCTCGCTGCAATCACAAAACGAATAAATTTCAATGCTACGAGCTTTAGAAATATTCGAACAAAATCATCTCGAAACTTCGATTTCAGTAACCAATTGTTCCATCAAACTAGCAGCTCTTTGGGTAGTTGTTCATTCCAGTCGGTTCTGGAACGCAATATGATCTGCATTAGTATCTGGATAGCACGAAAATAACAAACATACTTGTTCATAAAAATCCTCAACATTATAGAACGCATAAGGGACTAACAAGTTTCTCAATTCCTTTCTGAATTTTTTCATATCGGAGGTAGATTCAACTCAAGTTGGAAGATGATTGTACATTTTCAGACCATTATATATTATGGAATCTTTTATTAGTGAACTGCTGAGCCGGGGAAGCTTCACCATGTCTGACTGGCGTGTGTTGTAAAATGATTCCACGACTACGTAATTACCTCTGGTTTTGTGAATCGAACATACCGACTCTATAATAAACAAGAATACTACTGTTGACACTGTGTGCTCACTGAATAACTCTTCACAAGAGGTTCTCGGATTAACTTTGCATATATATCTAAAGGCCCTTTTTGTAAGATGAAAGTAGACTGTAGAATACGGTTATTACAAGTTTTCCAAAATGCAATTCCGGATTCAATCAGAGCGTAATAGGCCGTCATACCAGCAGAATTACCCAACTCGTTTGATATCGCTCTGATAGCATAGCACCCTGATGCAAGTTTATTGCATAGGTATGAAACATGCAGATCAGAAGTCAATTCTTTGGTCACAAAAAGACCAAGATGCCTTGTGCTCATTTTATTTTCTATAGTTTGATGATCCAGAGATTCAAAAGGCAACTCACATCGGAATGTAATCAGGTTAGTTTTCTGAATTTTGAAAGAAAGTAGGTTTGATTGGCTCCATTGATGAATAATTTGAACGTCTTTGGATATTTTAGTTTGTAGTGCCTCCACAGATCTATCACTCCAGAATATGGTAGTGTCGTCAGCGAAGAAATTTATTTTCCCGGATATATTCAATTTAGTCATATCATTGACATAAAGCAAGAACAGCAACGGCCCAAGAATCGAACCTTGAGGTACTCCATGATAAATATTCGAGGTATCTGAGGTAACATAATTGATGCGCATCAGTTGTTTTCTATTCTTCAAGTATGTGTTCATCCACTGTAGACTTGAATTACTAAACTCATAGTAGTGAAGCTTCCAAAGCAATACTCCATGATTAACGCAATCAAGAGGTTTTGAAAAGTCACAAAACACTGCAATGGCAGCCTAACCACTATTTATGTTTTCATAAACCCTATACATGAAGGAGAAAAGGGCATCATTCGTGCTTTTCCATGCCAGTATATTATGGGAATTATAGAATTCAATGATTCGTATTCTCACTAATTCCTCTATAATTTGAGCGAGTGTCGGATTGAGCGCAATGGGGCGATAGTTTGATGGTTCGTCTTTGTTTCCTCTCTTATGAATAGGTATAATGATAGGAGTGTTCAGAAACTGTGGATAAGTACCAGTATTGAACGATTGGATGATTAACTGTACTAAGGTCGACAGAGCGGACTCAGGGAGATTTTGAAATATTCGAATAGATATATCATCAATTCCTGAAGCATTTTTGTTTTTTATATCGTTGATTACATTCCTGAGCTCACTGATACTGGTATTCGAGAGTTGGAAGATAGAATTGTTGGTTGATTCCATATACATCAATGGATCGTGGGTATCAGTGATGTCTTTGATTGAGCTTTTTGCTATACTACAATAATAGTTGTTTAGCGCGTTAGGTTGCAGTGTTATTTCCTGCGGTATCTTCCGTTTACCTCTCAACTGATTCATAACCTGCCAGCACTCTTTCGTTTCATTATTTGCCCTACCAAGACCTTCATTATCGTGCATCAATTCAGCCAGTTTGATGATTGTTCTATAGATGGAGCGATAAGATATCGAAAGTACATTATTTATTAATATGTTTTATTGCACATAATACCATTGAAGAATTATTGGAGCTGTGCACACCTCTCAATCATATCGTATCGAACGCCATAACTGAAAAAGTTTTGGTTGGTCAACAAATTTTCGTCCCTACCGAAAGTTATGGTTATTTGAATTCTTGGTCTAATTCACACATGACAGTGACAGCTCACGTATGTGGTGTAATAATAATAGAATTATTCCGAACATTTTCAAACTTCAGAAGTCGCTTTAAGTTGTAATGTAGGTATACAAATAAAATGAAAAATCAAAATTGATGTTTCATAAAAAACAGAGGCGGTACTCAATGAAGTTCCTTAACAGTGTATTTTCCTGTAGGTTTCCAAGAACGCTGGATAACCCTAAATATTGTGATTTTTAAGTGTCATAGGTGAACTGAATTTCAATTCATCATTCTGGAAAATCTAGGAGGAAACTGGATGAACACAAAAAAAAGTAAACTTCAAAACCCTGTATATTTGAAAAGAACCTCTCAAGTATATATATCCACATACAATTTTCATCTTGAGAAAATTTGTTTCATCAGCTGTTGAAGACTTGCTACGAAAACGCGTCATGTTTTCCCCCTCTAGATCTATGGAAGAAACGGTAAAAAAAACACGACTTGGCAATCAGAAGGCCTGTTAATTTGTATATGCTCTATCTGCTCAACTTGATTTTCATTATGGCTTTCTTTGTTTACATAATTTCATGAACAGTGACAACTATGGAAACGAAATCAACTTCAGCAACTTCAGCATGACAAACGAACAGACCTTATGTGTTAATTGGGATGTTTTGGTTGATTCACCATGGTGTATCTTCAGGTCTGTTCGTTTGTATATCTGAACTTGCTGAGTTGATTCTGTTTTTATAGTTGCCTCTGTTGATGGCATAATGTGAACGAAGAGAGTCATATAAAATAATCAAGTATAGCCGGTAGAGCAAACACAAACGAACTGGCCTCACCACTGCAAGTGCGTTTGAGTAATGTAAAGATATCAATGATATTCTCAGATAACAATTTGATAGATGAGTTGAAAGTTGAGTGAAGTTTTATTTTGTAAGTTATTATTTATAGAAGTCATGACAACAACAACTAGTATATACTGAGTATATATCACACGCCCTCTCTTCATGAATTCATAATTTTCGAGACTCTTGGAATTCTTGTAGATCGACGAAGACCGCAACCATCAGGCTCTGCCAAGACTCGACTTGATTCTGCTTCTACGACTGAAGGCAGTGTGTGTTCATCCGGAGTATGATTTCCAGAGTGAGGAATATTTCTAGAATTGTCCACACTTTCCATGTGCACAGGAATCTCGAAAAGTGTTAAGTTTGATGTTGGGTCAGGATCCAAGGCAGTTGTATTTCCCTTGAAAGGTTTGATGTCTCTTCTATTTCTTCTAAATGTTTTTCCTCTGGAATCCTCCACTATATAATCTTGAAAATTATTTTTCTGCTTGATAAAAGCAGAATCCCAATTCCCATTATTCTAGATAATTACTTTTTGCATTCATTCTAAATCACAAAGAACTGATTTTCCTCCGTCATAGTATGATTTTTGAGTATGTTGATGGACGACTAACTTCTTGCGGATTTCTTCTGTGTCATAAGTATTGATTTTCAATCGTATCCCACCGCTGCCACCATGTAAATATATCAATGATATTCTCTGATAACAATTTGATAGATGAGTAGAATGTTGAGTGAAGTTTTATTCTGTGAGTTATTATTTATAAAAGTCATGACAACAACAACTAGTATATACTGAGTATATATCACAAGTAACCAAGGGTTTTATTCGGATTTTTTCAGTGATCGGCCAATGCCTGTTCGCGTACGGTCGGCGCGTGGGCGAGCTGTGCCGGCGCGACAGCGACTGTGAGTCGGGGCTGGTATGCGCCGAGGCGGCGGCGGGGGGCGTCGCGACGCGCGTCTGCCGCCCGCCGCTCCACCAGGACAAGCAGTACTCGGAGCCGTGCGCGATGTCGGGCGAGTGCGACGTCTCAAGGGGGCTGTGCTGCCAGCTGCAGAGGCGCCACCGGCAGGCGCCGAGGAAGGTCAGTATCACACCGAGAAGAGTCCTGTTATACAAATCTGTTTTCAAAGGCATATTTCTTTAACAACTGTCAAGGAAATGGCACTTTTCAAATACATATTGTGTGCCCAGAGTGTACAATTTTTCAATATCAACCAGAGTATAAGCAAGCGTGAAGAGCGGCGCAATAATCCGGTACTGGTTGTTCTCAGGGCCCTTGGATGCCAGCGAATGTGGTTGTGGTAGTAGGGAACCGTCACAATGACATAGATAGGTGAACTTTCACTTTGACGTGGAATAATAGCGGTGAATTTGGATTCACGAAACAATCGGTCAATCAGTGAATTTCACATATATGCGGTGAAAGTAGTAGGTACTTCCTGAATAATAAATTAATCCGGTACTAACTTGGCCGAGCACACCAGTAGTTTCGCTTCGGCGCATTGTCACCCAGGGACTGTTCGTAGAAAATGGATATATACAGTTTGTTTTGATATTATTGATTAGATAGGGGATTCCTGATATGTAAGGATATATGAGCCCGCGGCAGCTCGTGAACTCTTCGTACAGGGTGATAATTTTGTATCTTTCGAAAAAAATGGAGTGGTCGAAAGATCTTTTATGAATATAGGGAATATATTTGTTCATATCCCTCGAGTATGGGAACTGCTTCTGAACCTTATGACGGCAATAATTGAAAACAACGTGACAGCTTACTATGCAAAAATGGTCATGTGACACTCAATCATTGTTGAAGACCCGGTAAAATGTTTTCAAGATATAAGTAAGTATACGTATCGAAAATTCTCTCAATTTGGATGAGATTTGTTTTTATTTTGGCTCACCCCACCATTCACTATAGTGTGAAAATCTTAGAGATTGGTGATATATGGTGTTGCGTAAACATTATGTCCAAGATGAGGATGTCTATCTTGGGGATCTAGGAAATGATTTTTCCAAACCGAAACGTCATAAGAAAAATCTCTCATCGCTGTCTTGTGAACCTCATAAAGTGAAAATAAAACGAAATCTGCAGATTTTGGTTCAATCACCAGAACTAGGCAGAATTTTGAAACTTTCTTAATATTGTTATGGACTTGAAAATGCGCAATTCCTCTTTGATTCAACCATTTCTGTGACTTTCATGATTTTTGAGAACCCCATGATGAACAAACTCATCTTGGACATGGTGTATTATGGATTTATTTCATTGTTATAATTTTATTTGCTGCTTCAAAATTTACAAGGAATCTAGCGAACAATTAATCAGAACTAATGAAGGTTTTTCGTTTCGTGATGCGTAAACCCCTATTTTTTCGAGCCACTGTGTACATTTTTGGCAACTGTCAATTCATAATCCAAGGTAGTTAGAACAAGAACAAATAATTCAAATTGTAACCATTTCTGACGGAGGCAAACTGAGATATTTTGAACCGAGTATATCGCGCCCTTGTGCACTTTACCAACAAAACAAAACTCTATACTCCGGAGTCAGTATATAAACAATGATGTCGGTGATATTTCTCAAAGATCTTTGGCCCACTTCATTCTTCTGAAAAAAAAAGTTATTCACCTTGATGATGAAATGTGCAAAGATGTATAAGTAGATTTGTTTTCTGTAATAATATTGGTTGGGGTCTTTATTCGACGAACTCGCAAGGTTTGGTTGTTGAAACAATCTACCTATATACCTTTGCACTTTTGCCACTAGATGGCTCTTTGGACAAGATTGTCCTCCTACCCTTCGAGACATTCATTTGACTACATACATAGTAGTACCCTTTGTCACTCGATTGTCAGCTGACCTAGTGCAACTAGCTGAAATAGCCTGTCTTGCACCAGCTGATAATCGATTCACGGAATTTACCCAAAATCTCTGAGTCTTCAGATTTGAGGTTCCTCACCATCTGTCGGTGGGACATTGAACCATTATGAGGATTCCAGGTGTGGCGACAGTCTGCAGAAATGTGGAATTTTTGCCTTTCTGTAATAATTTGGACGTAGGGGTCAATATTCGACGTACTCGCAAAAGGTATGGTTGTTTGAACAATCTACTTATACACCTCTGCACGTTTGCCACTAGATGTCTCTTTGGACTAGATAGTCCTACTACCCTTCGGGGCAATTGATTGACTCCATATATGCCTAGTGCAACTGATGAGGCTTGACAAAGCTGAAACAGTCTGTCTTGCACCAGCTGATAATCAATTCACGAAAATATTCTAAAGTCTCTTAGTCTCGAGATTCTAGGTTCCCCAAAATGATATAATGTTTCAGAGATATTCAGAAACATTTTAGTTTATGGAACGGCACCTGTGCCAATCACTATCCCCAGCAGAATGATTGAGGAATTGATCGAAAACTCATGTTTTCCAATCACATCGGTCATATAATTTCAGCTTCAATGAAAAAATTTAGGTTCTCTGATACGAAACTGTATGGACTTCAAATCATTTGATTCAATGAAAAGCATATATCTAACGTTATTCAGAAGTAGGCTTGATTATTTTAGTGTTGTTTCGAATCCGTCTTGTGGTAAATATATTTCAGCTATTGACAATGTTCAGAGGAAATTTTTGAAATTCGCATTTTAACAAAGGCATGGTACTCATCCTGTTGGAGGCTATAACTTTTACTTACTCCTTACCGAGTTCAATTTAATATCACTTAAAAATTTTAATAAAATAATATGTGCTACATTTTTCGACTCCTAGGAGTCATCATCAGGCTAAAATACGAAAAACTTCCAAATAAAAGAAGTTCCATCACTATTGGAAAATGGGTGGCATACCTTGCTAGGTAGGAGGAGCAAGGAAACTATAAAATTGATAACATGGTTCGTGAGGGTTTTAGGCCCCTAATAATTTTTAAAAACATTTTTGAATTTTGGTTTTTTGTACCCCAAGATAAACATTTTTCTCAAGATGCTCCTTTTTTGAATCTGATAAACATAGTGTAAAGCAAATGGCGCGAGTGTGAAGTAAAGAAACCGTAAGACTACTCGATTCGAAAGATAAAAATGGTAGATAAAAATTATTTTTTGACAAACAAGTGACAAATGTCATCTATCAAATTCAAAAAACATTGAAGTTGACTCAATGGACCATACATCGAAGTTCATAACAAACGAGAAAATGTGTCTAGATTGACTAAGTCAGGTATTTGAAATTGTGTTTTTTGAATTAGGAATAACAACATTAAACAAATGGATTGCTAATGCAACCGATGAATGGAGAGGAAGATTACAAAATGGAATTGAGAGTGGATAGGCAATCAAATCTAACTTGTTCATTAAGACAGACAGTTGAATTTGAATGAGCAAATCTATTTATTTCTGAAATTTCCAGAAGGTTAAGCTTTTTGCCCTTAGGATGAACATGTAGGACTTCCAGATCTTTTAGTATATTATGTTTGTGTTTATTCTCGAGAACATGGTTTGCGAAAGAAGATGTAGTGTTGATAACATCAGAGTTACTATATTTGTCAATTGTCTTCTTATGTTCTGCTATCCTGGTGGAAAAAGCTCTCCCTGTCTGACCAACGTATTCTGCATTGCAATCAGAGCATTTGATCTTGTAAACGCCTAACTTAGAATGTACTGAGTTTTTATCTTTATTATTTACAAAAATGGAACCTAAACTATTATTGGTTTTGAAGGAAAAAGAAATGTTATGTTGTGCAAAGATTTTTGAAAATTTGAGGCAATATGGGCCAGAAGAGTCCTATGCTTCATTCACAAAATTATACACAATCAAATAGATTCCTCTACTATCCTATCACAAAATGAGGTTCGATGTTCCTGTTTCACGTGCTTGTAATACATTTCACTCACCTGTACCTAACACAATACACAATTTCCACTCGCCTATAACGTCAATCTCTGGAAGTGTAAACAATATCTCTGATGTCGATATTTTCTTCTCCTCATTTGCACAGTTCAAACGTGTTATTCTTGACTCAGGTCCTAACTGATATTTTGTATAACTTTTATGTTCTAATCACTCAGTTTGTAATTATGTACACCGGTAATTGGGCTCTAGGGCCTGCTGGATGTATAATCATCAAATGAATGGATAGATGAATGAATGTGATAATAAGTTGAAACAAATACTTAGCAAATAAAATGAGATTTTTTCTCCTTTGCGAATATTAAAACGTGCCGCGATTCAAACTGATTCAAGTTAGTGGGTGTGCGTAAATATTTCCGAGAAAATTTTGCCACCTCTGAAAATTATATCTGATGGACCAGTGTTAAACCCAACATGTCGAGCCAACATTTAGATTAGAATAGTTGTAGTGCGAGCACCACATGAGTTTTACACTGGTCCATCTGATAATATCTTTCGACGAGGGTGAAATGTTCTAGGAAATATTGACGCTCTGCCCCTAACTCAGATCAATTTGAATCGCGGCACATTAGGATATTCGCGATATTTTTCCTTTTCTGAATCGCTGTGCCGTGAATTTGGGTCAGACTGAGAGGTGGAACAGGTAGATACTGGAATCCACTATTGAATTATCATCGCATGGCATGATTCTCATTTCGTTATCAAATGGCGAAATCGAGTGCAAAATTCCGCACAAGAAAGTGCAATGTTTGAATCATTTCGCTCAGGATACTGATTGGCGCAGGTGTCGCTCGATGAACTACAATGTTTTTGCATTCCTTTGAGACATACATAAATATCATTTCGTTATCACATGACGGTCGAAATTTGCAGCCGGCTCTCCTACTATATGAGCGTCATTCAATTCTTATATAAGTGTTGTTTCACAGAAATATTTGTTTGAAATGATGAACTTGATCATAGTGAAAAGGAAACTATGCTGGCGCCTATTCGATTCACAATTTTATTCAAATTCAAACAATTTCGTATAACAGATAATAGATGTACGAGCCTCAGTAGGCAAGTGTACTTTTTAATTATTTCAAGAGATTGCATTAGCCTTTAAATGATTGCACATTTTATATTCACAATGTATTTTTGCGGATATAGTCATATGTTTTGTCACTAGAGTTTA